TGAAACTTGAATAGTAAGTTTTTTTCCTCATCTCTCCCTGGAGACTTATATCCTACCTTGTTCTCTAGTTACTTAAGTACTTGTCTCACCAGCTTTCTCTTCTCTCTCTCCAACTTCCCATCCCAACCTATATTATAAACTCCAGGAGGAAACTCTACATTTCCATAACACTAGACTCCGAGAGAATTCCTTCTTCTTGTATCCTTGGCCATGAGCTGGAACCTGCCCACAAAAATGTGTTGAATAAAGTTGATTATCCATAGCTTTTTGGTAAACAAATCCGGTAACGGGATAACTCTAGGTTCTAAGGAAAGCCATTCTATCTAGATTACCAGTAAACACACAGGTAACTAACATCCAGATTCCTATTGTAAGGAGGATGTTTCTGCTCTCTTTTGCTTGGAAATTTATTATCTTTCTATTGGAAAAAGAATGAGAGTTTATGCTGTCTATGTAGAAATGGGTAAATTTACACAACTAACCATTTTCTTTCCGTACAGGGAGACAGGGTTGTTTAGTGGTCAGAGATCTAGACCGATAATTAGAAGACCTGAGTTCTAGTGCTAATCATTTATTGATGATATAAACTTCTATTTTGCCTTCAAATTACTTAACCTTTCTGAACCCCATTTTAATCACCTGTAAATATAAGGGTAATACTTCTGGGAGGGAGGGACTGAGATGTCATAGCTGTAAGTGTGAGGTAAATTATGGATGAATGGAATCAGTGTTATATAACTGATAGCTAGTATTTATATAGCACCTACTATGTGCCAGACACTGTGTTAAGTGCTTTATAAATAAATTTGATCCTCACAACAACTCTCGAAGATACGTGCTATTATTATCCCCATGATATAGTTGAGGAAACTGAGACAAGCAGACATTAATAACTTGCACAAGGTCACTCAGCTAGTAAGTGTCTGAGGTTAAATTTGAACTGAGACCTTCCTGACTTCATGTCTACTGCTCTATCCACAGTACCTCCTTAGCATTATGTATGATGACAAGAGAAGCTGGGGAATCTTTTATGGGACTATAAGCAAATCACTTAACCCTATGGAACCTCAACTTCTTCATCTATAAAAGGGGGTTAGTAATGCCTGTAGAGTCTATCTCCCAGGGTTATTTTATGAGGTTCAAATAAAATATAGGTTGTCCCAAAAGTTTTTAGTGTATTAAGGCTTAAAAATTCACCATGACTTTTGGGACACCCTCTATATAGAAATCACTTTTCAAATATTAAAGTGCTATATAAATTACAACTTATCATAGCTGTTGAATAAAGGGTTATAGTTATAATTTAAAAAGAGAAAGTGAGTGAAAAGTTCGAAGACTTGGTCTGGAGCTCAGAGTAAGGCACATGATAGGACATATAGGTCACGGACCATGAATGTGGTATAAACACCATCTGTTCAGAGTTTATATTAATTGAAGACAAAATAGCCAGAAGGAACTTCTGAACTGATGCACTGTTAGTAACATCATATCCAATCATAATTTTCATGCTCCATAGCCTCTGTTAATGTGACTTGAGGCCCCCATTCCTAAGTATCACCTGTATTGGTCCTATTATGGTGCTTTCTTTAGGCGAGTGGCTCTATGGATAAAGAACTTATCCCTTCTCAGCCTCAATTTCTCATCTGTAAAATAGGACTAATAATAGCACCTATCTCCCAGGGTTGTTGGGAAGATCAAATGAGATAATATTTGTAAGGCACTTAGCACATTGCTTAGTGCATAGTAGGCTCTTACTAAATACTTTTTCCCTTCACCCTTTCCTGACTTCAAGGTCAGGGGTATATCCATGAGAACACACTGCTGTGTCCAGACCAGCAAGTTGTTTTCTTGTTAACAGACCAAGGTGCAAAGTAAGGCTAAAAGTTATTCAAAATTGAGCCAGTAAGTTTATCTTGCAAATTTATTTTGCCTTCAAAGATGTCAGCTTCATAAGTGTGTCTGAATAAAAAGGCAGACCTGAGTTAGGTTTGGAATGAAGATTTTCTTGGTTGATTTTTGAAGTCTCTTCATGTTCCTTTGAGCTTCAGTCTTAAGCAAATAGAATAAACACAGCCATATAACCTTTGGAGGTGGACAGAAAAGTCCCTGAAGTTTATATCATCAACAAAAAAAAAAAACCTAGACTTGTGAGTGTGGGACCTTTAGGGATGGATCTAGTCCCTGAGCTCAAGGTCAGTGGAGAGAATTCACTTTGAAACTCTCCATAAAGAACTTTTCTCCTTACTGATTAGACTTTGGACATATAATGTCTCTCCCAGAGTCCCTAGTGGGGATGATCAGCCTTTCTAAACCATTCAGCATCTTATTAGCTGAGACACTATTGAAGTAAAATACTGAAGATCAATTTGATAATTGACCCTTAGGGGAATTTGGAGGTAGAATTTCTGAGACTTTCTCATCCTCTCTACAGGAGCGAAAAGCATCTGTTCAGTATATAGTATCACAGGGGCCTCTCAGTGTGCCTTTGAATGCCTGATGTTAATAAAATATTTATTATCAGCAGATGGTTGTGGGGATTGTGGGAGGGAGGGGTGCAGGAAGCAGTGTGTGTGAGGGGGAGTGGTAGGCATAGTAGAAACTCTCCTTTTCTGTAGGACCTTTCAGGAACTATGTATTCAATTCTTAATCCCACAAATTTGTAAGGTCCCCCATCTATTCCAGGCACTGGGCTAGGTGTTTGGGATTACAAAGAATAAAAAATAAAACAAAACAAGAAACAGTCCCTGCCCTCAAGGGGCTTATGTTCTACCAAGGAAATACAAAATAAAATAAGGAGTGAGTATGGAAAAGGAGAAACCAAGCATAATCCCCTAGGAAAATTTGAGGAGAGAGAGAAAGAACTTTTAGCTGGGTTATGGGGGGAGAGGCAGACTTAGTGATAGACTTTGTAGGAGGTGATGCTCGACAGATCTAGGCCTTGAAGGAAGAGCAGGATTCTGAAAGGCTGAGAAGAGAAGGCACTAAATTGGGGGGGGGGGGGGGGGGGGGAGGAAGGCACAGGCAGAGAGCAGAATTGGCCTCTTTGTGTAGCATGGTTTTGTTCCCTTTCTGCTAATCTTTCTGAAGGTTTTTTCATTCAACCCTAAACCCCAGTGGCTATTAGACCACACTATATGCTTACTTTGTACAAAGAGGTCTTACAAAGCCTCATCAGAACTGTCAGGATGATTCTCGTTTTCTCCATCCTTTTGGTACCGATTTTTCACTCCTTTATTCTTGTCTTCCTAATGGTCCAAAGTTATATAAGATAATTCTCTCACTTTTGGTTTATCTTGAGGAGTGATGCTGTCCATGATGTGAGAGAGGGGAGGTAAAGAGTGAATAGCTCTTATGGGATATAGAGAACAGTAGGACCCCGTTAGTGGGACGCAGATCCAAACTGGTGGTGCTCAAGCAAACTGGTTGTGTATGGGCACTGTATGGGTGGTGTGATGGGTATCAGAAATCTGGGCAGGCTATATGCATATTCAAATCAATGACAAAGGACCTATGAAGGAACCCCCCTCCAGAAAAATAATCAATACATGGAACTATGGATCATATAGTTTCACATATATCTGTGCCAAATGTTGGCCTTCTCTAGTTTGGGGTTGGGAAGACGGAGGGGAAAAGCTTGGACCTCAAATGTAGCAAAAGGAAAAAAAATAAATCCATGTAGGTGAAAGGTCCGGTCCAGGAAAGTCACCTAGGTCATGGAGAAATAGCCAGGAAATTATAGGGGCAAACAGACAAGACCTGGGGACCAGGAAGTTAGAGAATATTAGCACGAATTCATAGACAACAGCATTGTGTTGGAGACCACTTGCTTTATGCCTTGTTTTATTAGTTTTGGACTCACAGGTATTGACTACAGTTAGAAAGCAAATAATTCAGTGACTGATAGGTAGACCCTGCCCTTCATTGGTGAGGTAAGGCCAGTAGTACTCACGTCAGTGACCCTCACAAGACTTCTTGGGAACTTTAATATAAAGGTTTCTGTTTCCTTGCATGGATGAGGATACTGTGGGTTATGGTATTGTACCCAGAAGAAAAAAGGAAATTGTGGTCTGACAGAGGAAGAGTGGATTAGGCCCATGGTCAGGATGCTATTATCATTGGTGAGCCAACTTAGGTTCTGGCTGATTTCTGACTTTGCTGCTTTGAGGAAGTTTTAAGAAGGTGGTGAAGCTAAACACCTCTTGGATCTCCTTCAGTGATTTTGAATATCTGTTCATTTTCTTCAATTCTTTCCCAATTCTTGAGGTAGCAAGGTGTGGCATAGTGAGGCAGGTAAGTAGCATAGTGAATATAGTACAGGATCGAGAATCAGGAAAACCTGAGTTCAAATCCTGCTTCTTATATTTAATAGTTGTGTGGCCCTGAACATGCTACTTAACCTTATTCAGCCTCAGTTTCTTCATCTCCAAAAGGGAGATAATTATGGTCCCTACTTCACAAGGTTCTTGTGAAGATCAGTGGGATAGCCTTGTAAAGCACTTTGCCAACCTTAAAGCACTATATAAATTATGATTATTCTATAAGTATTTATTGTGTACCTTCTCTGTCCTTAGAGTAGGAGATAGGAAAAGAGACCATTCAGCAAATATTTAGTAAGTATCAATTGTGTACATAGTGCTCTGCTAAGCATTAAGGGAGATAATATCAGAGCTAACATTTATATCGCACTTACTATGTGCCAGAAACTATGTTAAGTGCTAAACAAATAGGAGGTAGGTGCTATTATTATGCCCATTTATGGATAAGGAAAACTGAGGCAAGTTAAATGACTTGCCCAAGGTCACATAGATAGTGTCTGAGGCTGGATTTGAACTCAGGTCTTCCTGAAAAAAAAAAACTTAGATTAGTCTCTGTCTTCAAGGGGCTTTAGGGTTAGTGGAAAGATAAGATACACCCACAGATAATTATAATGCTGCAGGGAATTATTACCTTAAAGAAGTACAAAGTACTATGTGAAGTCTGAGGGGAGGATCATTTCCGGAAAAAGTAGGGATTGCATCCTGAACTTGGGTGTCTTTCTTGTTCAGGAGCTGTGGTTTTCTTCTCTGCACTGTTCCAATTTTGGTATAGGTGCTGCTGGAGCAAGGATATATGGTCCTTAACCTCAAAATGATTTTTATCTTTTGGGAACTAAAGTCTTCCATAAGACCTGTTTACAATTGTCAACTTGGCAAACATCACGGCTAGCACAGACTAATTAAGATGTTTATATGGCCCCTAGTTTTAGCTTTTTTTTTGAATATTAGATTGCTAAATTCACATTAATGAAGTAACAGAAAATGGCTGAGCATTTTATTTTGGCCAGGAAAAGGTTTAGAATATCATCAGATATATCAAGTTGGATAGACACCGCTCCTCCCCCCCCCGCCAGATCTTGGGTTCCATGTGACAATTATGTCTGAGTAAAGGGGAAACTGTGAGTCCACTAGGTTACCCAGTGGTTAGAATGCTGGACTTGGAGTCAGAAAGATGAATTGAATCCTGCCTCAGGCACTTATGGGTTATGTGAACCTGACTCTTTCTCAGCCTCAATCTTCTTATCTATAAAATGGGGATTATGATAGCACCTACCTCCCACCCTTGTAAAGATCACATGGTATATATACATACATATACGTAAAAAACTTTACATACATTAAAGAGCTGTATCAATGTTAGCAATTAGCTGTGAGAGAAATAACCAGAGAAATACCCATGGGAGCTCCAGGATAAGGTGAATCTCCTTATAGCAGCTGAATAGCATGAGCATGCCTATTTGAATTGCAGTTGATTCATTTCTGCACTAAAAGGGGAGTAAAGGACATTTCCGGGACAGAAATGCTTATAATCAGGTATAAGCCATAAGCCTTGAATCTGGAGAATTAATTCACTTGATCACCTTCATGAAACAGAAATAGTATGGTGTTCCCTTGGAGAAAAAAAAACAAACCCGAAAACATCTAATAGAACCAAATGGGGAATATTAAAACTGACTCATCTGAATACTTATATAGAAGATATGCCCAGGAGAAGGATCTTGATAAGACTCTTCTAAATCTTTCTTGTATCTCCTATGTATATATGTGTGTCCTAAGTTGTTTGCAGCCCCCTGACAAAGTTAAATTCATGATAATGGCTGAACCATTTTGGTCCTGGGTTGTCCCTTTGCTCTTTTAATACCACATTAAGGAGTGATTGAATGATTTTTTGGTAGTTTCCTTGAGGGAACTGGAGCCTCTATATATAGTCCCTCTTCCATCTGTGGTTCTTTTCTCTGATTTTTTCAATCTGCCTCTGTTCCTCCCTTTAAAGGCCAGGACCAAGGGTATAGCCCAGGTGTATGAAGAAGCATCCTTCACATGGTATTAAAAGGGCAAGAGGACTGTCTTCCCAGGGCAAGGAGAGTTCACAGTGAGCTTACCTTGTCATGGTGCACAGTTCCTCAAGGAGGTATATGATAGTGTAGATGTTGTTCATGCGTGAATTGGACTGATAACATGGCCCCCGAGGGCCCTTCTGGCTCTCGAACTCTGATTCTGAGAAAGCCTTACCAGGCCTTCCTGGGCATACCTTCTTTGCTTTACATATTTTGCACTTTATTGTAATCAGAAATTTGAACTAAGCCGTCAAAAAAACATTTTGAATTTGGAAAATTGGTAGCAAGTAGACTAATAACCCTAAAGGTGTGACTAAGTAATAGAAATTTTTGATTTGCTTTTTGCAATTTTATTTTGTTATCATATAAGTATTCCTGAAAGGCTAGTTGTATAAGTCAAAGAAAAGAAAGGTACTACATACTTAAGTTCTCTGAACTTACTATACTTTATTTCTTCTCCCTCCTTCTTTTCCCCCATCCTAATTCTAGTGGCAACAATCCTTACTCCTCTTTTGGAGCAACTCTAGTGAGAGATGATGAGAAGAATTTATGGAGCATACCTCATGATGTCTCCCATACAGAAGCGGATGATGATAGGATATTGTATAATTTGATTGTCATTCGAAATCAGCAGCCCAAAGATTCAGAGGTAAGTCATCTAGCAAGTAACTTTGGAGAACCCACTCTTCACATTGGTAGGTAAAATCTTAGTGATTTAGATCTGTCTGAGATGGCAGAAAGTCTTAAGTTATCAACTGTTTGAAGATAAATGGACTTTAGTTCTTTTTTTTTTCTCTTAAAGACTAGCCTTAACTCCAAATCACTCTAGCTCTCATAGATTAGCCAACAATAGGTTCCAGGCCAAGCCCTACTTGGTCATTGTTTGGATCCTGATTGGCTCTGGATGAATGTAAATAACAGTTGTTTCTGTTTTGGCCAGAATTTCTGAGGGTCTTCCTCTCCCAGATCTATTTTTTTTAAAAGAGGCCATTCTTTGCCTCATTTCTTATTAAGCCTTAATCACTGAATGGGCATTGCTTCAGTCAGACTGAGACCTGGGAAAGACCTTAGCTTGAAAAGGCCGAGGTCCCCCATTGTACCATGGACCATCTCTAGTTGTCCTAAGCCATATCTGGCCTCTGGACTCAGATGACTCTGGAGGAGAAAGTGAGGCTGGTGACTTTGCACAGCCCTCCTTCACTTAAATCCAGTTCACTTGCATGTCATGGCTTCTTCTCCCTGACATCATGGTCCGTTTCAAGAACAAAGGACAAACTGCAGCAACAAGACAATGTCTCTTTCTGCTTTTTCAGTGGTAATGGCAGAGAGGTGGGAAAGGGGCAGAAGGTGCTGAGAATCACACAGGTTTTTAGATCACTAAGAAACTTTTAGTTTGATTACTGCTTCTCTAAGGATCCCCATCCAATAAGAGTGGATTTTATATCCCCTATATTGCTGGAGGAGCTGAATCATATTAACTTGACATTTTTGAGATATATATATATATATATATATGTATATATATAGTTCTATACATGAAACCAGAAGGAAGGAGGTAATTGCTGCTAACTGGAAGGATGGCTCACTCCGGTATTCCTTGGCAAGAACAAGAAAGGAATTGGCAAAATAGTTTTTTATCATTTGTCCAAAGGCAACAAGAAACATTATTTCATGGGATGTTTGATCATCCCATTTTGTAGTATTAATGATGAATATTGACAAAAAGATCACCATGAAAATAATTACTGTTTGCTGAAGAGGAAGGGGTAGAATTTCTCTAAGAAGAACTTGATAAAATGCTGCAAGTTAAACCAACATATACTCTTTTATGGGGTAACTTGTGAGCAAAAGTGGGAAAAGTTAAGTCTGGAGAGATACATGGGAAAGTATAGTTCAAGAAGAAGGAAACGGAAATGTCAAGGGCTTTTAGATTACAGAGAAACCTCATAATTTTAGATTATGAGCACTTTAAAAATTGGAAGGTTGTGGACATGGTGAGCAGCAAATAGTACCATAAAGAACAAAATATATAACAAAAGAAAAGAAATGACTTGTTAATGTTATAGGAGTCACCCCCAGTTCAGTAGCCTTTGTACAGTCAGACCATCCTCTCATCAGAGCTAAGATCAGAATTATTATAAAACAAGAGGAAAGAATAATAAGAAAAAGATATGTCACATTAAGTGAAACAACTTAACCCTGCGAAATTAATTGGAAATAAAAAATGGGAAATGGAAAACAGAAGTGCTATCAATATTGAATATAAAAATTTTATCTAGCATAAATTAATTGCTACTACAAGGAGACCAAAAGAGCCCAGAGGAAGCAAGCACCATAGGACACATCTGACTTACTTACCAAATGGAGAGTGATGGCTGCCAAAGGCAGTGGGTTAGAATATACACTTGTTCGTAAGATCTTACTTGTAAGGACAATGGATAACTATGAGCAAAATTGTCTCATAAAGCAGAGAAAAGCAATGGAGGGTAAAAGCTGTCTGAAGAAATCTTTTTGAGATATCCAGTTAAGCAAAATCATCACGACAACATTCAAGGATGAAAATGGAAGGAGGACAAGGGATTCCCATTGGATGGTGAAAGTATTCCAGATGCTCTTGCTTGCTTTATATTTTGTGTCTTGGAACCTCAAGCTCCAAGACATTACACAGCCTCCTTGAAGATACCTGTAAGCATCTGTTTGGTCTGCCTATCCACATAGGAAAGACCATTGCTCAGATTTCAGCATGCATTTGGATGGATGCTTTATAGAACTTTTCCAACACTTTGTATATTTGAAACAGATAGGACAGATGGACTGTGTCTTGGGTCCAGAACTGAATAGGACAAAGAGAGTGGTCTGGATTTCCTTAGGGGCATTGTAAAGCTCTTTTGCTAATTCCAAGTTTCACATGAAAGCAAAGGCCCATCTTTTTAGGACTGACATTTTACCTGTATTGCTATATGGCAGTAAAGGCATGTGATAGCTTGCCTCTGAAGAATTAAAAATGAGTGTCTCACAGAAGACAGTGAAGGTGCTTATGGTGGGCATGAGCAGACTGCAACATATAACCGATGAGGAACTCTGAGGAACAGGAGTAAAAGATGATGTTGTCAGGGAAATGGAAGATAAGAAGAGAAGCTAGACTAGCAAGAATGAGGGATAAAAGGTGGGCCACTGTTTGAATTTTCCACTGTTACCTTTGCATTGTCAGGAAAAAGTGAGGAAAGTCTCCAACACTGACTGGACCTCTTATGACAAATTTGTGGGAGAACATGGATAAGAGTTACACAGGATCGGCAGCTATGGCTGGGTTGTGATCCTCAAGTGTTGGTGGGAACTCCTGAATCAATGAAATGACAGATACTCTTGCAGATTTAAGAATATACCAGCACAAACTAAGGGCTGTATGACTTGGGGCAAATGATGGTTTCTCTAGCCTGCGTTTTCTAATTTACAAAATAGATGTGCTATTCTACATTGCATTATAGTCAATCAACCAACAAGCATGTATTAAATTCCTACTTCAAGTACCAAACATTTTGCTAGGTCCTGAGGATACAAAAACAAAAATGAAATGATCCCTGTCCTCCAGAAACTTATTATAGCATATAACTTATTGGGGGTGGCAGCATGTACATACAAGGGGTGTGTGTGTGTGTGTGTGTGTGTGTTTGTTTAGAGGAAATTGGGGGGAGGGTCTATGGGGTCAGGAAAGGGAAGGAGGAAAGAG